TTTCCACAGCGGATTTCTCGTCATAACGGATTTTTTTGGTTGGAACCATGAATCCGCTGTGGCGAGGTTTGACTGTAGTTTTCATTTTATGTAAACAAAAAAATATTGGTATCCTGCAGATCCATAGAAGTTTTAATATTAACCAAAAAAATTTTCTTAGCATTAAATAATAATAAAATAATTTCCCTTGTACAGTGATGATAATAAATAGGAATAATTGGCATTTTCTTAAGTCATAGTACTAGTAGCTATAGTAGTAGTAATATAATTATTGTAATTTATATTATCTTGTTAAAGGAAATAAGCCTTATTTTATAATTTTACAAATAGTTAAAATCCCTTAACAATAATATTAATAATAATATAAAATTTGTTGCATCAAAATGTGGATTAATATTTTATAAAACAAATAAAACGAATAATTCTAATAAAATAAAAATGAATACAAATAATTAGAATAATAATAATTAGAATAAAATGAATAATTCGAATAAACGAATGATTAGAATGATTAGAATAGAACAAATAATTTGAATAAATGGATAAAATGAATAATTAAAAATAAATAATTCAAATAATTCAAATAAAAATGAATAATTCAAATAAAATGGACAATTCAAATAAAACTAAAACGAATAATTCAGAGAATTTGGATTAATATTAATATTAAAAATGTGAAGCTGGAAAATGGCCTATTCATGCTAATACCCTTGTTGTGTAATTAATCAAATAAATCATTGGTTATTTAGCAAAATGATTTTCACACACTAGATGTAATAAAAGGTTGATCCAAGACCACAGATCTCAGCAATAGCATTGCATTAGTGTAATAATATCCTAGTAATGGTTGTGCGCGATGCAAATTTTATGCAAATCTGATGGAAATTCAATGACTGTGACCTTGCCATTAGTCATTTATCAGTCAGAAGTGAAATTGGATTGGTCAATTATTTATTATTTGTATTTCAAATTCAAGTATGTTTTAAGGATATATATAAATTACAAAATCAAGAAGATAAGTATGTTTTAAGAATTATTAAAATTCAGAGGTATATTTAAGTGTATAATTAGGATATCTAAATTCCTATTACTGTAAAAAATAAGAATGTTTTAATTGTAAAATTAGTATATTTTGCAAATAATTAGCAAATCATCTTTTTTGATTTAAGTATGTTTTATAAAAATTTAGAAAATAAGTAGGAATTAATATTATTATTATATATTGTTATTATTTTCAATTCTTTTTGCAAAATGAAAATAGTTATTATCATCCTTGTACCCATCTATATCTTCTACATTATTATACCCAATTTTCATTTCGAATTTACACAACAATATGATAATAATAACAATGTTTTCCATATTGTTGCATTTGTCAAATCTGTAATACTTTAAATGGAGTGGCCACAACAAAGAAGAGTTTGTGGATTTCCAATATAATGCTTTTAGTGTAAATGAATGATGTTGGCTTGAAGATATACAATTGAGCACTATCATGTTGTTTGTAGGAAAATATCCATTTCATGAATCTCATTTATACATGGGTGGCATTGTTTTTTTTTTTTTTGTCATTTGTTATTTGATGATTAAAAATGCCATCACTTTTGTCTTTCGAATTTCAGGTTACAATAATCAAATCAACCTTCCTTAATTTAATGGTTAAAAGCCAACAATAATGATGTTGACAAAGGATCTCCTCCACATAAAACACCATTTGGACTTCAAAGAAAATTTTATATTACCAAAATGAATTAGCCAATCACAGAAAAAAGTTTGGGTATATAAATTTTCAAGATTTCCATGCCAAGATCTATCAAAAATATTGCCATAAATATATAAAATATGAAACTTAAAAAAAAATTTTTTTTTTATTTACAGGAATAAATGACTATATTATTTTTGTATATATGGGATATGATAACATTTAAAAGCAATTTGTGAAAATTTGGATGGAATTATATCAATATTTCTAAAGATTAAAGAATGGTGGAGATGTTGAATTAGTTGAAAATCAAAAAAAAGAGATTCAGTATTGGAGGAAAGGTTATTATTATAATTATTATGTAATTTGTTTATGCTGTAAACACAAAAAAAAAGCAATGATGAAAATGATTTTAAAAAATGATATTCCAAAAGAATTAATGATTTAACATTAATTATTACCAATTGTTCCTTCTGAATTATCTTTTATAATTTTGATTTTGATTAAAAATATAAGTTTACAACTATTTGTTTGTTATTGAAATATATTTATATACTGATTTGGTTATTAGGATTAAAAGAAAGAGATTGTAAAATTACCTATTTGACCATTAATACAATCAGCAATTCCTGATGGTAATTTTATAATTTGAAATTTAAAAAAAAAAACAAAAATTTAATTAATATTCTCTATTTTTCAACCAGATATAGATCCAAATCTTGGAAGCTCTTGAAGATGATGAATTTGTTCAGATGACAAAGAAAATTATTTAATATTCAAAGAATTTGACAATGATGATGACAAAGATTATGATTTTGGAAGTGAAAATGAAAAAGAAGATTGGGAATTGGAATTTAAGATTTTTTTAAAAAAAACCAAACAAAAAATAGTGATGATGATGAGAAATCAAGAAAAACAGGAAGATAATAGTTTATTATTCATAATTATTTTTTTTTTGAAACTGATATTTATTTATTTCTCTTTTGGATATGTCAGACATAATTCTTTGATTTCAATTGCAAGCTTTGGAATAATAATATTTAAATTTTAATAATAAAAATAAATTGTTGTTATTCAACAGGTACATCAACAATGTCATTCATCAAATCCCACATCAATTTCTTCCATATTATTATTATATAACATCAATTACTTTGTTTAATTTATAATTAATGCAATCTTCTTGTTTTCAATTTTAAATATGATATTAATATGAAATTCTTTTTAAATATTAAGTTGTCAGATGAAACTTCCTTGTGTGGTTATATCTAATATGCATGATAAATTGGTTAAACTTAACATGTCCTTTGCACCAATTAATGGTCGGGAGCAAAGATGGATGATATCATTTGTTATTATGATCATTCGCAAGTAGAAGTCGCATTTTACTATTAAATAACTTCATGAGTTATTATTAATGTTAATAAAATTGTTGAAAAAATAGATTATTTAATATTAGTTAATTTTATTTATTCAAATAAGTTTGCTATAAATATATTGGTTTACCAACTATCGAAGATCAATGTCAAATTTGGGAGGGGGGTATACTTTGTCATGAGTAAAGTGGATAAAGTGGTAAGTTTTTTCAAAAAATAAAAAAAAAATTTACTATTGATTTTTATATTATTTTTTTAGTATGTACCCTTCTCCTCAACATATTACTTTTATTAAAGGCCAAACAATTAATTCTGTTCTCTCTGAAAAACAAAACATTTCAACATTTATTGAAATTTCCGTTACTGCAACAATAGAAGAAGTATTTGATGTATTACTTGCTGAAAATATTATAAGTGTATCTGTTTATAGACTTTGGAGAGGCCATAAACAACCAATTGCGATTGTTAATGTTTTTGATTTAGTTTCTTTTGTTTGTTTGCAGGTAAGAATACAAATACATACTTATATATATATACATATATATATGCTATTATTTATTTTATAATTCTTTTATTTTTAAAGCCAATTTTTGACAATGATGAAGTTTTAAGTAATGACAATAATTCTTACTTTTTACAAAAACCAATTGGTGAACTCATTGGATTAACGCCAGAGAGCACAAATCTGACTGTATGCCATACAGAAGATCCACTTGTTAATCTATTAGATTTGTTTACACGTAAACAAATTCATCGTGTTTTGGTGTCCACTCAACATCTAATCGAAGACCCAGATATTGGCAAAGTCATTAATGAGGAAGAGGTGCAACCATGTTTTGTATCTCAAACTGATGTAATAAGATTCCTATTCAATCATAATCATCAATTAGGCAAGATTTTAGATACCCCTGCGTCAAACATTGCTAATAAAGCAACTAAATTATTTTCACCTTCAACTTCAACAACAACAATTACTGCAACTTCAACAACACTAGAAACGCATAATCAAGAATTATTATTGGAACTCTCATCCATCACGATTCATGATCAAGCTTTAACAGCTTTTAAAAAAATGCATCAATATGGAGTCGAGGCAGTTGCAATTGTTAATGATGGTGGTAGCCTGGTTGGAGAAATATCAGCAGCTGATTTACGTGGTTTAAATAAAGATCGTTTGAGTGATTTAAAAAAACCTGTCATAATGTTCCTTAAATCAACCAAAGGTGCATTAATTAAACCATTAATTTGTCATCAGAAATTTACTTTGAGCCAAGTTATGGCAAGTATTGTGCATAATAAGGCTCATCGAGCTTGGGTTGTAGATGAGAATGATATACCTATTGGTGTAATTACTCTTACTGATATCCTTAGTATGTTTTTACCTGATGCATCTATTAATGATTTATGATTACTATTGTATGTCTTAATTTTATTATATTATGTAAAATTTATGTGTGTATATATTTATAGAAAAATATTTTTATTATTTATTACATATATATTTTATTCCATTATATTTAAGAAATAAAATAAAAAAATTAATTTTAAAATTTGCAATTACAATTCCCAAAAATTTAATTAGATTATATTGTATTGTATATGAATAAGCAATTATTTATATATTCACACATTCATTTCATTCATCCACCTAGTAATCCCTATCAAAATTGCTAGAAGAATCAAAAGCTTCTTCAACATAAGGATCAACTTTTCTTTTCCATTTATCAAGATTTTCATCAACAGCATCTTGGTATTCCAAAAGAAATGGTCTAATTCCTCTAGCATAAACGATCTTGGCACCATTAAAAGGTGGAAGGGAAAGCCTTTAAATATATAAAACATAAAAATATATTAATATTATTTATGTGAGTATATATAAAAACAGGCTAATATTAATTATATGTTACATTATTAATATATTTAATGAATGATTTAATCTATTTACCATAAAAGAAAGATCGTTTTGATCAAAAAGTAGAAAGGGACCCAATAAAGAACAATATTGGAAAAGAATTCAACTATATTAAAAAATCCAAATACAGTCCTAAATAAATAAATTGATTAATTCATTAAGTCATAAATTTATATGCATATATATTCAAATATTTCATGCTTGCGTGTAAATATTTATACCAATATGTTAACCATTGAGTATCATCAGTTTTTTTAGCACTTTCAATGGCTTTGAAAGAAGCATAAGCTTATATATATATATATATAGATAAATTAATTATTAATTCAAATAAATGTCATAATAGTAGTAATAGTAATGATAATAACAACAATAATAGTATGTCTACCTGGATATAGCCAACCAATAATGTTAGAAAACAACGATCCCCAGACATTGAAAAAGATCAAGACAAAAACAATACCAACAACACTAGCTGCAAGATAAGTTTTTGGAATTCCAGTTTGTCGTTCCAAGTTAATTATCTGTGGGTATTTTGATAATTCTCTATCAACTCGAGTATTATAATATTGGAATTTGGTTTGAAGCATATCCATTTTTTTATATCTTTTTCGTTACTTGGATAATTAATTTTTTATGTACGTACAACATGTGAAAATATAAAATTTCAAATTCGTGTAACAAATCGAGGTTTTAAAAATATCTCGTTCGACCTTTTAATAACAAACTTGAACTTCATTATTAAGATAACAAGAAACTACACCATTTAAGCTTTCTAGCCATATTTTTATATCTGAAAACGCTTCCTATATAAAGCTATGGCTATTTAAAAGTAGTGGTGTTTTTTCACTTCAAAGCTGTGATAGGGATTGGAACTGGGCGGAAGAAAGATAAATTAGCCTATCCATAATATTTGTGGTTTTCTATAATGCTAGTTTATGATCCCTCTTGAACATATGATGTTTAAATATCTATTATAACCAGTGTGTGAAATTTAAATTTAGTTGTGCATGTTTTTTGTTATTAAAATTAAATGTATCATTATCTATTGAATTATTATTTGGGAGAGTGTGTTAATTGATGATAACAATAGAAATTTATGATTATGTGGATCAGAATGAATTGGCTATCCCTAACGAATTAGTTTTATTAACGAATAATTTGGTTTAGTGACTTAATAGTTAAGAAAACGTTTTATTTAGTCGAAACTAATTTATTAACTTATTTCTAAGTTAATTTTTATTATAAAACTTTTTTTACAAAGTTATTACAAAGTTATTTTACAAGTATGTCGAATTTGAGCTTCTTATATACAATTAAATTAATTAGTAACAACTTCATTGCAATCTAGCATTCTAACCGCAATATCGCACTTTAATTGCTACGTAACATTCTAACCGCGACGCTAATTTCTAAATAAAGTTGACTAATTTCGAACATAATACATAGATATAAAAAATAGAAAAAAAGACTTGATTCGGAATTAGGGTATTTCGACAACAAATCAACATTAAATCCTAATTCTGGTAACAATATCTATTTTGCTGGTTTTTATATTGCACTATCTCCCCGACTGAATTCCATACACTGATTACAACTTATAGTTCTTAATAATCTACTTGACAAATTTAATTATTTTGAGTAATTCAAAAATTGATTTATCTGGTTTATTAAAATATTATTCCCAATTAATAAGTGTGAAAATTTGATGTACAGTTAACAAATTTATTATAAAAATTATAAATAATAATTTAATCATAAATATTGTTGTAATCATTTTGGCAATGGCACTATCAATTTTTCATCTCTTTTATTTTTTGATTATTTCACAATTAAGAGATTGTCAAGTTCTTTTTCATGTAAGATCAATTGTTTTTTTATCAATTGTTTCTTATGTATAATCTGTGTCCCAAATTTATATCAGCATATTATTCTTGATAATAGATAATTACTTAAATGAAAGAGTTGATGTTTATCAATGGTGGAAGAACAAACAGAACCCTTTTCCCATTTTTAGTAGAATTACACATGAATACTTATCAATTCCTGCCACCTCTGTTCCATGTGAGTGTTTTTTTTCTGATGCAAGAAATTTGGTTACTTCTAAAAGAACATGTTTAGGGCATGAAGTAATGAAACAGTTATCATTTGTAAAAAGAAATAATTTATATTGCAAAGTTTGGGACAATATATAAAAATTATTTTATCATTTGATTATGTAAATATTAAACCCCCATTCAAAAGATCCATAAACCACCGGATGACCCATGGGTTTGCCTTGATGGGTGATCTGGGTAAGGTTTTTGGATGGGTCCAATCTCTAAGCTGTGATTATCACTTTAAAAGACTTGATAGTAACAGACAAGGTGTAGAATACTTTAAGCTTTCATATGGTTATTACTTTATAGTGGGTGTTGGTTAATAAGTTTCAGATATCTTTCAGAGACTTTTAATATTATTCATGTAAAGACCATTCACTGAATCTTTTTTTACAATTAACAAAAAAATGAATAAATTGAATGGACCAAGTATATCTATTATTTAAAATAATAAATTCTATAGGTATATTATTTATTTGATGAATTAGAAATAGAAAAAAATTATTTGAACTAATGGAAATATTAAAAAGTTAAATATTTTTGTTTCTTTTGTATTTATTATACCAATGACCTCTAATTTGTTTTTAGTCCAAGAATTTGAATAATTTTTTAATTCCATCAATAATTCTTCAACAAAACTTGCAAGAAAAAATTCTGTATGTTGATCTAGCTTTTTAAGGATTTCTTTTTCTTCATCTGAAAGCACCCTTCTTCAAATTACAATTGGATCTGGTAAAATTAAATTTGAGGTAGAAAGTAAAATAAATATGAAATAATATTGTTTTTGTGTTTAGGGTACACGTGATCTGTTGACGATCTATCCAACAGTTTTTGCGACACACGTCTCACGATCAAATGCTTGTTCAAGGGTTCAATAAATATATATTGATAATAATAAACATTATAAAAATCAATAATAAATGAATGAATGAAAACAAAAGAGTACAGTCAAGATCTCTATCCACAGATGAAGTATCAATAAGACGAACAGTTATTCTAGGCGAATTAATTATTACAACAGATGAATATTTATTATTATTATCATCAGTGTTGAAATTTCGTTGTGTAATCAGTACAAATTTAGAAACTATCTCCAAAAATTAAAAAGTTGATTGGTGTGTAATGTTACACCCCCGCATTCCCCGCACCGAATTTTCAACACTGATTATCATTATTTGTTTTAAAGAACTCTTTTTTTGAAATAAATTTATCGATTGCGAATTAATGTGGCAGTTACATATGAGTTTTCTTCGCGAGTTACAGCCAAAATTCGATTTATGAGATGATTTACAATTATAATTACTGAATTAGTATTAGCATTATTACTATTCATGTTATTCATTGAAACGAGATAATGATCTACAGGATCAACAGGAAAATTTTAGTATAATTTAAATATAATAAATAATACTTAATACAATACTTGATATAATTTACAAAAAATTAAATGCTAATAATAGTCAATTATTTACTGAAAAAACTAGTAACGTTTGTTTGTATTGAATTTTGAATACTATATGATTCTATTGTTTTTTTTCAATGATTTTAAAGCTTTTAATTCATTATAATCTGCTTGTATATTATTTTGTTCAAGAAAATTAAAAACAGTTTCAAAAGCTTTTTCACATTTTTTGGAAGAAGAAGATAGTTGTTGAGACATTTTAATTTCGTAGAATTTAGAGATTTATTAATTTAAAGAAATCAAAGAAAATGTTGATTATGTAGAATTATTAGAAGATATTTATTTATTATCAATTTAGAAATATGGAAAATTTTGATTAATATTATTATTTAGTGATGTGTGTTTAATTATTTGTGTAAAATCATTATTTAGAAATATGAAAATTTTGGTTAATATTATTATTTAGTAATGTGTGTTTAATTATTTGTGTAAAATCATTATTTAGAGAATTTTGGTTAATATTAATATTATTATTTAGTAATAGTAATGTGAGAATTATTCAATTTGTTTATATTATTATTTAGCAATGAATTAATCTTAACATAGTAATGTGTGTTTTTTTTTATAAAATCTATATCACGTGAATCCATTGTAACGCGATTAGTGACTTTTTATTATTACTATTACTAAAATCCTACCAAAAAATCCGTTGTCCGTTGAAACGCGATTTAAATATTAATATAAAATCCGTTGAAACGAGAATTTTTTAATTAATAAAATCAAGGGGTTGAAACGAGGGTTCGACTGTAGATATTTGCTTTTAAGGTAATTGATTATAAACCGAATTTTATCATAAGACGAATTTTTAAAATTTCGGTTTATCAAATTATATTAAATTCGGCTTAACAAGGATAATTTTATTAATTATGTTATTGGTTAACCAATTTTTACATCGTTATAAAGCGAAAATCGGTTTATAGTGGTTCGGCTTATCGAGGTTTAACTATATATAGTACTACTATTTATTTTTACAAATTTTAAGGCACTGGGCAAAAGTCATAACAATTGAAATTTAAACTATCCATTTTTAAAAAACTATCATTAAAGATTACCAACTTGATAAATTTAATACGTTATTTTGAAAATTTAGGGCAACTATCTATATAGGTCCTGTTGTTGTATGTAGATCAAGATGAAAAAGCCAAAGAAATTTACCAAGATTTTTTCTTACCTCTCCAATTATATATATATAAGGCTATTAATAATATTATAATTACATTATATTTTAAAGAAAATAAAGGCAATAAGTTTTCTAGAATCCTCCCATCTAACCCCCAATTTTAGTATCAGAAGATTATCATTATTATGTGTTAAAGAAATCAATGTCATCATGATTGTTGATTTGAATATCTTTTATTTCCTGAAAATGTCTAGTAACATCTTTATCGTCATGATCCTTTTCTTCTTCACTAATGCTGATATTTGCTAGAATTTCTAGAATTTCATTTTCTAAATTTTCAATTAGCACTTTTCCAAGTTTCTTTCCAATTTGCCATTGTTGATACATCGGTTCCATAATCAATGCTTGTTCAAAATTGAAAATATTCTCGTGAATACATTGATCTTTTTTATCATACAATACTTTATTAGCCCATTCAAACCATGCACATTTTGGTCTTGCTCCTGGTATCTATAGGAAAAATTTTTTTAAATAACCACATATAACATTTATCATTAAATGTGTTCCATGTATATGTTACCTGATAACTTGCACATGACATAAACCATTTTCCCTTATTATGCCGTCTAATAATTCTTCTCAAAACTATTGGTTTGCCGCAATAACATCTTGGTACAGCGGGTATATTGATAGGAAATTCAGTTATGGTATTAAAGATTACACAAAAAGTAAAATTGAAAAAGGGACAAGTGTTTAGTTCAGGATGATTGTTATTCAATGATTCTCCTCGACACATTTCATTCCATATTGGCTGATGTACATGAAAAGCACAAATTTTATTTTCCTTTGATTTACTACAATCAGACCCGTCATCACCATCATTATCCATAGTTTCGGTAGTAGATGGATTGTATAGAACGTCTTTTTCTTCAACAGTTTCCTAAATAAATAATCCCTTCTTTTTAAATTCAATGAATGAACATACAATTCCTTACATATAAATAGAAAAGGGCGCGTTTCTTACCCTTTCAGATAAGTTGGAAACCGTTTGCATGATCTTTTTATTTTCATTATCGTATTCAAGTATTCTGCCTAAACTCCAAGGATTAACATGTTCAACGTAATGACAATCATAAATAAGGATCCCTGATCTCTCAGATAAACATATGGATACAGGTTTGTCGCAAAAACATCTTGGCACGTCAGAAGAGTTAGAAGAACGTCTTTTATTATTATCCATGGCCTTAAAGTTACACACAAATTTCACATAATAATAAACGGATGGAGATATTAATATTAATATGATGAAAATAATCTTATCCGAATTGGGCGGTTAAAAGAAAGTAACACGTGCATAAAATTACTTTTACGTTAATATTAAATTCTCTTCATGGAAACACCATCATCATCTGTATTGTTAATAGATTCGATTACAAAATTTATTTTAAATCATTTTAAAAAATTAGGAAAAATTACTAAATATTCATCTAAACCTTTAATAGTTGCTATAAACGGACCTCAAGGATCTGGTAACAAAAAAAACAAAATATCAAATACAAATTAATTAATTAATTGAATAATAATAAAAGATATCTTTTTTTAGGTAAAACCACATTAGTAAATCAATTAAAATATCAACTTAAAAAGTCATTATACAATAACAGCAACAGCAACAACAACAACAATTATAATGATTCAATCGTATCATGTTCAATTGATGATTTTTATTTAAGTCACTCTGATCAATTAAAATTGTCAAGCAAATATCCGGATAACAAATTGTTAAAGTATCGTGGACAACCTGGAACTCATGATATTTTATTAGGAGTAAATTTCTTTAAAAAACTATGCGACAATCAATTCAAATATTCAACTTCCTCATCCTCACATAATCGTAGTAGTCGTGAAAAAGAAGAAGGAGAAAAGGAAGTATTATTGGTTCCATCTTATGACAAGTCGTTAAATAATGGTCAAGGTAATCGATTATCGATTGATAAATGGATAAAAAGTTATCCACCATTTGACATAATGTTATTTGAAGGATGGTGTGTTGGTTTCAAGTCATTAAAAAAAGAAGATTTGAAAAATATTTATTATGATAGCAACATTAACAATGATTGTTATTCGTTAGAAAATATTTTGTTAATTAATGAAAATTTAAAAAATTACGAGAAACATTGGTACAAGTATTTTGATATATTTATACATTTGGATGTTGAGAATATCAGTAATGTTTATGAATGGAGATTGGAACAAGAAGAAAATATGAAGAAACAAAACAAGAATAAGAGTGGTATGAGCCAAGAAGAAGTTAGAAATTTTGTTGATAGATTTATGCCTTCTTATGAAATATATTTACCATATCTAAGAAAACAAAATTTCTTTTGTAAAGTTGAAAATAAAAAGGAGGAGGAAGAAGAAATTAAAAGTTGCACAAATCTCAATGAACATTATGGAAAGCATTTAAGAATCATATTAGATAAAAATAGACAATTAATCAGCGAGACCATAATGTAAAAAATATCAAGAGTATCATTTAGACTATAGAATATACAAAAAAGTAACTCTGTTTTTATATATTATATATTATATTTATTAATTAATCTAATCTAATTATTTAACAAAAAAAAATTTAATTGCCGATTTCTTGGCATCTTATAAACATAATAAATACTGCGTATATATATATAACATAAAAATTATAATTTTAGAATGTAACATTAACTGCACCATCCTCATTTTTAATTGATAAAGAGCCGTTTGTAAATCTATTATTGGATGTGTTGATGTCATTGGCTTTATGTTCATTGTCACTTATTTTAACTTCTTGTGGATAATTTGTTGAAATTATACCTCTTCCAGTAACAATATCGTAACTACCAGTGAATCCATTGATCTATTATTATATAATTAATAATATTATTTATTAACAAATAGCAAAATAACAATAACAATATGCACCGCAATAAAAATAAAATAAAATACTACGTCGCCATAATAATAATATAATACTTACAAAAGTTAAATTAATCTGACCCACATCATTTACAATATCAACCATAGCAGACTTTGCATTATCAGCAATTCCAACACTTAGATTTAAATCAGCATCATCCGCAATGACACTAAAATTATTTTCGATGCCTGTGATTGTTCCATTTACATAACCAGCATTAGAATTAATAACTAATGATTTGGCGGATAAATTATTAAATTGAATCTTAGAATCTTCATTATTAATCGTTAGTGATTGGTTATACTTGTTAGCATTCTCTGCAAACGTTATATCAAAATCATCCGTATGAAATGTTGTTTCATTAGTATTAGGATCCATGATTAATGGTAGAGTGATGTCAATATTCGCTACTATACATCTAGGTGGTATACTAAGACCAAACATAGTGATTGAGTTTACTTGTACCTAAATTGTAACATTTTGTAGAATAAGTAATAATTAATTACTTTATTTTTTGAAAAACAAAGAAAAAAGAAAAAAAAATTTCTATTACAATTTTTATAGCATAAGAATTTCCATATGTTTCTTGTGTGATTTGAATTTTATCATTTGCTAATGAATTATATTGTACTTTGATCAACGCATCAGTTGCATTGGTTGAATTAGACTGTGAGACGTTTATAGATCCATACTAAATAATATATAATGATTAACAACGGATAACAGTAATTAATATTAATAATAGCAATTTATCGATAAGAGTGAGTAATTAATAATTACCTTGACGAATCTTGGTAAAACCTTGAAATTATTATAAACATTTGGATTAAAGCTAAATAAATTAACATCATTCGAATCATTTAATTCGAGTTCACGACACGCTTTATTGTTAGAAATTCCAATCACCTAATTATCCGATTTGATATGATTGAGAATTGATTAATTTCTTATATTAAAAAAAAAAAAAAAGAGAGAGAATTAAAATTAAAATTTTAATTATATACTTACAGTTACAATGATAATTATCACCAAGGCTAATCCAAACGACAACATACAAAATCTAGATCGGCCCTTCCTTTTAAAACAACAACACTGTTGATTTTCATCATCTATATTAAAAAGATACTTTGATTAAATTTAATTTTTATCAGTGATAAAAGTGATTGATAAATCTAATTATAATATTAATACCACTGCTGTCATTACGGTAATTATTTGTCGAGTAAAAATTAGGATTACGGTGACTTGGAACCGTCTGTTGATAAGTTGGTAATTCATCATCGCCATTAACATCCACTATGACTGGTAATGGTACTTTTGGTACTTGTTCATACGGTGGTGGTGGTGGTAGATGACTATAATCATTGTCGTTATTATTATTATCATTACTATCATTTGATGCCGATGATGATGCGATAGTAACTATGTCACTGTTGTTATTATTATTATCGTCGTTATCTGCAACATTATTGTTATCAATTTCAAGATTTTCTTCTTGAAGTTCTTCTGTTCGACTTTCTTGATTTTGTGATTGCCGCCGTTCTTGTGAAAGTTCTTGTGGTTGTGACGACAATTGTGTCATATTTATATGTATATTTATTTATTTATTTAAATATGATCTTTATAAATATTATTTATGTACATTCAATATATATAATATATATGTGTAGGAAATAATTAAAGAATAAAAAAAAAAGTTAAAAAAATTTTTTATTAACGAGACGAGAAATGACAAGATAAAATTCTATTGTAAACTATTTATTTTATTGTTGGAAAAAATCCGAAAACAGTTAGGTCGTATTATTAATAATCTAGATAGATAAGACTAAAATAATATAATAAGGAAACATTGAATCAAATGACATAAATAGCATTCTCAATTCACGAATTTTCCAAATAAAACTAATTTAATGTTTCTAAAAAAATATACATAATAAAAACTTTCCTAATGGAAAAAGAAGTTTAAGATGAAACTAATAATTGAAACCATCAATAAGTCAAATATGGTGGAATGTTACACATAATCATATATTCGCTATATGGGATATATGGGAACTTTTTATTATAATTAAATTTTTTATCATGTTTTCCAGCAAGAACTTTCCATACAATTTGTAGATCATATAAACTTAATTCAAAGAAACCTTTTGTTATCCAATTACTAATTTTTTCTATTAAACAAACAGGACCTGATATTTCCACCAATTATAATATTTATGTTATAGATTATGTAAATAACACGAGTTTAGTCAAATGACCTTGGAAGTGGTTTTTAATTTTAGACTTGTGCAAATTATTTTAAAAAGTTATCAAGCAAACAGGCCTAATATTTCCGTTAATTATAATCTTCATGTTATAGATTAATATTATGTAAAATAACACAAATTTGGGCATGCTGCGTAAAATCAGAAATTGAGTATTATGTAACAAAGAATCAAAGAGTTTGTAAATTAGTCACAATTGTATACACTACCAATATATATTTTTTTTGATTCTCATTTTTTTAATTATTCAATATCCTCCATATAAACTTTTCTCTTCTTTCACTTTAGCCTTGGCTTAGCTGTTCAGGCTAATTCAAAAAAAATTTTATTTAGCCTTGGCATTTTGTTTCCATTTAAATCTAAATAATTTCTTGTTTTAGTTATTTCAGACCTTTTGCCTTTCTAATTCTTTAACTTTGTTTGTAATTCCTGAATAGTATTCTCGTTTTGGGGATATTTTTCTTTTTCATAATCAATATTTAAATTATTTTCTTTGATTCTGGTCTTATTTTGGTGAATTAGCATTCTTTATAACCAAGTAAGCTAAAATAAAAGGCACTCTTTTTCTCAACTTCCAGTTTGGCGAACTTATCATTAATTATCTTATTCTTCTACTTCTTGAGCAAAAGTAGCTTGAGCCAGTTCTTGCTGTTGAGAATCATTAGTAATTCCTCAGTTAGCAGAATTAGTCTGTAATCACTCAATAATAATTTCTTTGCTAATGCTATTATCCAATTTAGCAATTTTTTCAGATCTTTTTCACTGACTTGTTTTTCTAATTAAATTGCTGTTGGTGAAGAAATTGGATCACTTGGTGATTGACTCTTTTATTTTAGTTAACACTTGTTGCTTGAGTGATAGTCCTGGCAGCCAGTTGTAGTTGTAAACCTTTTGGAAATTTCCTATAGATCCAAGTAAATTAATTAATGTTGTTGTTTGAGCCTAGAGAAAATCTAATTATCAGTTACACATAGTAGAGTGAAGATTAGCCTTGCTATGATAATATAATGTTCAGAAATATATATATATATATATAACCAAACCTTTATCAGCTATTTGATCTCAATATAATTAAATACTGTAGATCTTCAATGCTAATAATATATTTTATCTCTCTTAATAAGTCCCTCTAATCCTTTTTTTATAAAAATTTATTTTACTTCATCAGATGTAATGAATGGTTCCAAGAGCCTTTTTATAGTATCTATGCTGTCACTATCATTATGACTCTTCCATTCCTCTCACATTATAAATTTATTGTGTTCATTAAAGAATCTTGAATCTATATAATAAAAAATACAAAGAAAAAATGTCTTCTAAAATAATATATACTTATCACCACTACTATTCAATTTGAAAAAGGTTCATCATTACTTGTCAAATGTGAGGATTTTTTTTTTAAACAGTGCACAAAGATGAATATTTTTCATCATTTACAAGACAAAGAATTAATAAGGTGAGGTGGATTAAGTCTTTTTTTTTTAATCCATTAGAAATTGATGTAGAACAACTTATTCTGACTGAAATGAGGATTAATATCGATTTTTTAAAAATAGGTTGTGATTGTGATTGTGATTGTTCCAAAGAATGAGATTGCTGAACTGCATCTGAATCAGAACAGGATATTTTCTTAATGATCTACCTAGTTGCATTACCATTAGTAGAGTGTCCGTGCAAAATTTTGTACAAAATTCAATGGTTAGTGCTAAATTTCTTGCAATTTTATTGGTTGATGATTGATAAACAATGTTTGATGACTTAACATGCGGACTAAAAAGGATTGAAATTTCCTTTATTGGCTAACCATTGGTTATGAATTCGGCAGTGTAACGTGAAAATTTACTAAAATCGGTATGACTTTTTATTTTTTATATATAATAATAATAATAATAATCAAGTAAATTGATAAAACAAAAATGCTTTCATCTGCACCAATTATAGCAAAAATTCCAGAATTTGTTTATCCACCTATTCCAGGAGAAACTCATAAATACTATGGAAACATACATTCCAAACAAATAAAACTTCCTCCAAACTCCATAAACAATGCCTATCGCTACCTCAGGGATTCGGAGGATATGAATATTTATGAGGCAACTTCTCTGGGTTATTTAGCAAAAGTTAAAGAGATTTTAGCACCAAAAGGATCTGGTGGAAAGGTGACAGATTTCACACGCGCCAACGTTGCAAATCTTTCTTCAGGTTTAACACCGCTTCATTATGCAGCTTCACGTGGTCATTTGGATGTTGTTAGGTGGTTGGTAGAAAGTGCAGGTGCAATTGTTGATTTAGAAGATCAAACTGGTGAGGTAAGATAAAATATAAAGATAAAAATATAATAAATAAATTTATTTATTCATTTTATTCATTTATTTTATTTATTATATTCATTTATATGTGTACGCTACATGTACATGTTATATAGACTGCGTTATTAAAAGCATCATATAATGGACATATACCAGTTGTCAATTATCTCTTGCAAAAAGATGCATCTGTATCACAAAAAGACAATGATGGATGGACGTCATTACATAATGCATCTGCACGGGGACATTTGCATATAGTGAAATATTTGGTAGAATCTGCCGATGGCGTGGATGTAGATGTTGGAAATAATAGAAATATTACGCCTTTAAGTGAGTGGTCTTTTTTTTTAAACAAATATGAATATGAATCAATTTTTGTTGCCACATATATATAAATATGATTAAAATGACTTTATTCACATTTTTGTATTAAAAAAAATTTACTAGTGAATGCTGCATCAAAAGGACATCTTGACATCGTTGAATATCTTTTAAATTATGCTAAATCCAATCCTCTTATTAAAAATAATTTTGGCGAGACTGCTTATGATGCAGCAGCAACGAGTAATGAGGCTTATATTTGTGAAGTGTTGGAAAGAGCTGAACGTGACTGGTGGAAAGGGAAAGGACAAATACCTGGACGTAAGTTTTAAAAATAGTTTTTTTAAAAAAAGTTTATTTATTATTACTATTAACTGTTTAATTAATTTTTAATTAACTATTGAAAATAATACATTTACAATAGCAACGTCATTTAGTCATCTTGAAACATCTTTGCCACCAATCAATCAACCATATGATGTTTTTACTTTCCACATATCAGTACCAATTATTCTTCATGAAAATCAAAGGGCTTCAAATGTTTTCTCAATGGCACTTCGTAGTTCACCAAAATATTCAGCAGCAAATCTTTTGAAGACAGATTTGCGTGGAGCCTGGTCACTCCATCCTAGTGGAGAAACTTCATCTAAAGAAGATATAAAATTACCAGTTGGGCCCAATTCTTCATCGATAACAATTATTTCTAATGCAACCACCACAAAATCACATAATAAACAATGGTTTTGGGTAGATGAATGGCAAATAGATATGTCACATCCTTACGTGGATTCAGAAGGATGGCAATATGCTAGGAATTTTACCGAACTAGATGAAAATTGGAGCGCACATCCGCCTCAAAATGCCAATAGTTCGGTAAGAAGAAGAAGATGGGTTCGTGTGATGAAACGTCGTTTAAGTCTTGGTGATATGGAACCAATTGAATCTCTACATTTAATCAAAGAATCAGAATTGAGTGGTTTGGATTATATTCAAAAGGCCGAATCCATTATTAAAAATCATCAAAATAGTGGAGAAGGAAAAAAAGACGATTTAAATAAACAATTAGCAGTATATAAAGAGGCAATAAAAATTTTACAAAATGGAATTAATTGTGTGTATTATTGTTATTATTGTATACATATGGATATTATATATATATCTAATGTCAATAATATATTTATTATTATCATTACTATATTTTTTGTGTATATACAGCTGAGACTAATGACCAAAAAAGAGAAGAAGCCGACTCACTTATAAAATCTTTTTCACATCATAGAGAATATTTAGAAGCTTTGGTACCAAAGAATAATAATAATAATAGAACTTCAAGTCATCGAAGTGTATCATCAATTTCGTCTCGTAATAAGTTTGGACTAGAAATGCCTATTAGAAGATCTAGTCATGATATTACAAATAATGGTAATACATATAGAGGTTTTTTTTAAATAAAAAAATAAAAAAATGTGATTAATTTGAACTTTTTTTCCTAAAAAAATAACAACAATAATAATAAATCAGGGATGGTAACACCTACCAGAGGTTTAAACATTACAAATGTACCAGCAAGTAGTACGCTTACTACGCATCCAAAATGGGAAAATGACGATGATGTCTATGAATGTCGTAAATGTCAAAAAAAATTTAATTTCTGGATTAGAAAACATCATTGCAGGTAAATAATTAATAACAACATTGTTATTATTGATTGGTTGGTTGATTAATTGATTGGTTTTGATATTTAGACGATGTGGACAAGTTTTTTGCGATAAATGTTCAACTGCACGAGTTACCTTGCCATCACTTCAAGTATTATCTGATCCATCTGCACCTAATAACACAACCAATACAACTTTGTATCATCGTGTTTGTGATTCGTGTTGTGAGTTAGGTGGATATATTGCACATCAAAGACCTGGTAGTATCAATTCATCAGATTTTTAATTATTTAATTTATTTATTTTACATTATTGTTTTGTGTGTGAAAAAGTGAGAAAGGATGTGAATGTGTAGAAGATTATTTGTGTTTATTTATTATATAAATATTTTTGATTTAATACATTTTTTTTTTTTATCAAGATAAATTTTATGTATATGTGAATAATTAAATAAGATATAAATTTATACGTGTATATTAATATATATATATTATGTATAAGATAAATCGATTTTTTTGTTAATACAATAATAATAATTTTTTTTTATATTATTAATCACCAAGCGTTAGTTATAATAATAATAATAATAAGCTCTATATCGAAGTCTAATTGTAACAGGAATAACTAAAAAATGCAAAAATTCAAATAATTAGATTAATTGACAAACTTGATGTAAAAAATAAATAGAGAAAATAATATAAAAATTATATTTACCAATCACCCAAATAAAATAAAAGACAAATAAAACAAACATCCAAAATTTCCAAGTGGGTTTGTCATTATGGCGCAAAGGCATACCCCAAATTTGTTCTATACTAGTTATTTGATTCAAAGGTCTTTCCACCGGAGGAATTGAATGATTAACCTGGCCAGGATAAGTATTAGCATTGATATTTTTAGGCGGTGGATGTTGTTGCATATCTATCTGATGTGTAGGATTTATTTGTTGTATTTGTGGTCGACCTCTCTCGTCTGAGCCTGGAGGCATGCCTATTGGCGGATTGTTTTGTTGCTGAGGAGGAGGATACTGATGTTTTTGTTGATAAGTCGGAGATATTCCTTGTGATGATTTAGATTGGTTATGCATGGTATCTGAACCAGAATATATTTCAGTGCTAGCATCGGATATATAAGAGTCTTGGTGTTGCTGGGGTGGTCGTTGTTGGTGCTGTTGTTGTTGTTGTTGTTGCGGTGGTCGTTGTTGGTACTGTTGTTGTGGTGGTGGTGGTCGTTGCTGCTGTTGTTGTGGTGGTGGTTGTTGATATTGTTGTGGTTGTGGTGATGGTCGTCGTTGTTGTTGTTGCTGTTGTGGTTGTTGAAATTGTGGTGGTGCTTGTGGTGGTTGGTATTGTTGTGGTGGTTGTTGATGTGGCTGTGGTGATGGTCGCCGTTGTTGCTGCTGCTGCTGCTGCTGCTGTTGTTGTTGTTGAAATTGTGGTGGTGCTTGTGGTGGTTGATATTGTTGTTGTTGTGGTGGTGGTGGTGGTCGTGGTTGTTGATATTGACCTCCTTGTGGTTGCTGGTATTGTTGTTGTTGTGGTGGTGGTGGTGGTCGTTGACCTTGTTGATATTGACCACCTTGTGGAGGCATTTGATAAAATTGATCCGACATAATTTTTTATTTTAATGAAAAAGATTTTTGTAGTAAAAAGTTATAAAAGATAATGCATCGTTTTTTTATAGAAAAATTTTTTTTAAATTGTATACAATGAACCTGATTCTATTGTATATTTTTTTGTTTTATAAAGATGGGAAATCGTGATACATAATAATGCAAAATAAGAGAACGCTTTCTCTTTTTGCACTTGTTTATGGATGGAGTTTCGGAATTGTGTATTTTTGTGAATTTTTGTAATACTAACAAAACAATTGAAACGGAAACTCCTATAGTAATAGTAATAATTATATTAATATTATAAATCCTTCCCTATCAATGGACAAATATTTAATATGATGCTGATCACCAACGTATATGTTAATTTTAACTTTCTTTCTTGGTTAGGTTTCATTCTATAATTACTATTTAAATTATATGTAATACTACAAAAGATAGCCTTGACTCGCAAGATCCCAGTGCAGTTTTTGCGGATAGCTGGATATTCAATGACTCGTGTGGTGACATTATTAGTTTCCCTTTCATTTATTTAAGCTCAGAGGATAGCATCATCCTCGTATTCTTTTTTTCCTTTACAAAGTTTTGCTACCTGTCTAAATTTCTTCTCTAATTCTTCTGCGCTATATCGTGTTTATTTTGTGAATATGTGTAAAATTATACTTTTGGCAAGATCAAATTTTGATGTATATAAAGCTGAAAAAACTGATCGGGTTTAAAACGACTATTCCGAAATTATGTAATGAGCCGTCCCTGTTTCTCACAAATTACATCCAGTATTTTAAATTCAGTCAGGTACAAAACAGTTATCCCCTGGGTCATGTAAGCTCCCCTCCCTACTGGGAGGGGTCTGTCAAAGCTTATACGTTACCCAGGGGATTATTATAGGCGAGGGAGGATATTATGTATATTAAAAAAAAATTATTATGATCGAGAATTTTATTGTATATTTTTTAAAAAAAAAATAATTAAAAAAGATTTATTTTAAAGGGAATTAATTCTTTTTCTTTTATACATTATTTCGAGGCATGAGTGAAAATTAAAATTCTTTTTTAGCATTAGTTGTAATATTGAGCATGGACAGTAGAAAGGGACCAAGCTACCAAAATCGTGATTTTGAGTTAATAACACTCCTACATGTAATTCGTCATAATAAAAATTTGAGTAAGGAAGGTTCTTAAAAAAAAAATAGTAAATAGAAACAAGGATAACTACAAGCATCGCGATTTTGAATCAATAGCATTTCTATATGTGGCATACTGCAACAAAACCAGACAGATAACATTTTTCTTCTAATTTTATTATTCAAATTTAGTGTAATCGTGATACAAATGTAAACTCGATACAATTTGTAACATTTTTTTTAATTTTTATTATTATTGTTTACTATCTGTGTGTTACTGATGAAGAGGTTGATTTGTAAACACAATTTATTTAGTGAACATATAAGGATTATTTTCCTATTAGTCAATGGACGAGTAGGAAATAATTAAAGCAAGAAGCTAGCTTAAATATTGGTTATTCTATAACAGGCTGAAAGTATTGTTTTTATTGACACTTGCCTCAAGATTATCCATCATACAACCAGAAGGTGGAATAAAGCAAACTTGATATAGATAAGCATGCTTTATAAAGTTTAATTTTTACTACTGACACCAATATTAACTTTGTTGTAATAGTTATTTTTCATGGGTAGTATTTAATTTATTTAATTATATATATTCAATTACTTTTAAATAAAAATTAATTATCAGAATGATGATTGTGAATTATTATTATTATTAATTATCACCACTATTGTATATTAATTAATAATGGTTAGGTAAGTTATCTTTTTTGATGCTTTACACTATTTTGTGAAGATAATGTCAAAATTTTTATTTAATAATATTGATACATCATTATTAAATAAATAATTTGGATGCTTATGTTAAAATCAAATTTAGAAGAGAAATTGCTATTTCTCTTCAGGATCTGCATAACTTATTTTTGGATTTCCCTCAAATAATAAAAGTTTTTTTGTAAATGATAAATAAATTTAATAAAAAAATAACATGAATATGCAGTTTATATCAATTTTGTCAGACAAAAAAAAAATATATTACATGTGTATCTATATTGTATTTTTATGAACTGGCTTTTGATGCAAAGTAAAGATAATAAGTGGTGTTATTAGTTAATTAACGGTTGATTTAACTTGTTGTAAAAAACCAAACTTTTAGCTAGTTATCCAGGTCTTCACACAGTCCTTGGCAAATTGTTAACACAATACTTGTCGGTAAAGTGTCCTGTCGGTAAAGTGGATGTCGGCAAAATTTCTTGGTCCGTACCAAATCAAATCATGTTTTCTGCTATCCATATAACAAATGACTTAAACATAATTGCGAGTTTTTTATGATGAAATAATAAGATTTGGCCCTTTTGACAATTCATTTACTCAAAAAATTGATGTTATAGAAAACAATTTAAACTTGTAAAATACTCTTGGCTTTATTAATCAAACTTTTGCAATTGCAATAGATTTTGTTATTGTAACAAAAAAATTTGACTTATTTCTGCTGTCTGCACCCCATATAGTTGGTTTCCAAAACCAGAGAGTTTCGCGACCATGCGAAAGTCAAAAGGTTTCGCCATAAGTCGAAACTAGTTTTGATTTTTGACTATTGACTTTTGATTTAGTTTTGACATATAACTTTTAATTTTAGTTTTGACTTTCGTCTCTTCAAAATAGTTTTGACGATCAACACTAACCCCATATCAACAATGCTATATTGAAATCAGCAACCAAGCATTGAATCATTTATTAAAGTAATTGAGAAGCAACACCTGCAGTGAATTATGGTGAACAGAAGAAACACGGTCAAAGCTTTTGAGTTCATTTGATTTTATTATTATATCAGGTGGCAAAATGATTGGTTTTTAGAAAAGACGTTTTACACAGAGAACAACATCAATTTGAATAGTGTTATGCAAATATTTGCGCACGACTGTATTATTATTGAGGATCCATTTTTAGTTCAAATCCATATCTGTATTTTATGACAGATTCATCAAAGAAAAATTTTTTAAAGAAACAATATAATCATAATAATCACAATGACAATGAATGTTATGATTTTTAAAATAAAATATTTTATCATTATTTTATCAATAATTTTGTTAAATGGCTCTTTATTGGTCAATTGTGATCCAGTTGAAAAAAGATGGTAAGTGAACTAGATAATATTTTATTTATAACAATAATATAATAATAATAATAATAATAATAATAATAATAATAGGGGTCATGCAGCCACATTAGTGGGTGAAAAATAGTAAGTTAAACACATACATTTCAAAAATTATTTTCAATATTTTTTAATTATTTCTCTTTCAAAAAAAGTTTGTATGTTTATGGAGGTAGATTATTAACTGCGGATAAACCTGAGTTTAAACCTGAGTTTAAACCTGAGTTTGATACTGGCATTGACACAAATGATATATTGTATTTGGATGTATCAGTAAACTTTGATCCAAAAAAACCAGTATGGAATCCATTAACAGCAGATAGTCCTGTTGCATTTCACAGTATGTCAATTGGAGGTCAAAATAACAATTC